GAAGGAGGATGGACGCCTGTTATTATACAGACATATGATAATCATACCTACTTACTATGTTTCTGACAACATATGATACCCCCCCCCCCCCGTGATTGCAGGTTGCACATGCTATACGAGCTGGAGCATGGCGTAAGGGCGCTGCTGCACCTGCCAGGCGGCAGCACTACTGCAGCGGGCGAGGGCGACGCCTTCGCGAACCTGACAGCTCAGTGGAGCAGCAGGTTACACATTGCTCAGGTCAGCGTTGTGGATAGTTGTGCTCGCGACGCGTTGTTATATTATCTTAGTGCAGTAGGGTAGTATTAGAGCAATGGTTCCGATTTTCTGTCATTTGTTCGTTTTCGATACATCTCTGCTTTACCTAGCGTGAGTTTTGCTTAGAAACATGCAATATAATGTGATAATAAATTAATTATAACACATACACCCACACACGCACACACAGAAAATTCGGCAATCTTCGGTTGTGTGATATTATCAGGAGTAAGATAATATAGAATAGAATATATAGATTCTATATTATCTTACTCCTGATATTATCATTGCCATCGATAAATTCATGTTGTGCACGTGTTTCGTCATGCGTACACGCACGCCTCGATCGCGTGTGTGCGCGTTTCACCGTGTGTACGGGCATGCCTTTGTTGCATGCTTACGCACGTGCGTGCGTTCGTGCGTGTAACGGCATGTAATTGTTTTGTCATATGTGCGTGTATGTAACGACGTGCGTGTTTTACCCTGCAAACGTGCACGCTTTTGTTGCGTGCGTGCGTGCGTGCAAACGTCGGTGTGTGCGCGCGTGTTATTCGTGCGTGCGTGCGTGCACGCGTGTAACAGCGTGTGTTTTGTGCGTGTAGACGTCGGTGTGTGCGCGTGTAACAGCGTGTGTTTTGTGCGTGTAGACGTCGGTGCGTGCGTGCGTGTAACAGCGTGTGTTTTGTGCGTGTAGACGTCGGTGTGTGTGCGCGTGTAACAGCGTGTGTTTTGTGCGCTAACGGTTGTAGACGTCGCGTGTGTGGCGCTGCTTGTAACAGCGCCTGCTGTTGGTGTGCCGTGCAGTACGTCGGCGTGGTCTGCTGTGCGTGCGTTAACAGCGTCGTGTTTGGTGTGCGCTGTAGACGTCAGGTGTTGTGTGCGCGGTCTGTAACAGTGCGTGTTTTGTGGTGTACGACGTGTTGTGTGGCGGATTTGCTAACAGGCGGCTCGATGTTTTGTGGCGTGTAGGAGTCGGGTTGTTGTGTGCGTGTAACAGCGGTAGTGTTTTGTGCGTGTAGGACGTCGCGTTGGTGTGCGCGTGTAACAGCCGGTGTGCTGTTTGGTGCGTGTAGACCTGTCGGTGGTGCGCGGTGTCAACAGCCGTGGTGTTTTGTGCGTGCAGACGTCGGTGCGCAACGCAGCCGAGCCACTGACTGTAACCTCGCAATCGCACAATCCTGCATGACGCTGGCAGACTGCCGGCGACCTTCCGGCGAGCGCAGATCAACGCCGAGCTGGCCAAGATCTGGGCTGCCCCGCCAGGCGCAAAAGGATTGCGCGCAAGTAGGAAGCGCCCGCTCCTAGTCCCTGCCTCTAAACCAGCCTTGTCACCTGTGTTGTGTGGCCTGGGTGCTGTGTGCCGTCGCGTGCGTGTGTGGATGCGTGTGTGGATGCGTACGTGTGTGTGTGCGTGCATGAGTATATGCGTGCGTGCGTGTGTGAGTATGTGCATGGTATGTGTCTGACCTGTGCATGTGCGTATGACATGTCCAGTAAGATTACGATACGTATATGTAACATTTACGCTGTGTACATGTTACTGAGTTATGAGAGTGACTCTCTTAGAATGTCCCATCGTAGATGTTAAGCTATTTTGTCTTCCTGCAGAGATGGTCACCTGCAAGCAGCCTATAGTGCTCTCCTCAACGCTTCTGAGCTACAGTTGCTCCCCGTATGCAAGGAGAGGGCAAAGTGGCTTTGGCAGAAGGTTGGTTATAGAATAACATTTACATGCTTTTAATGACAAGCAGGTATCTTTGCCTGAGTTCAATTGCAATCCTTGCCCCATTCTCTCTCTCTCTCTCTCTCTCTCTCTTTCTCTCTCTCTCTCTTCCTCTCTTTCTCTCTCTTTCTCTCTCTCTCTCTCTCTCTCTCTCTTTCTCTCCATGTCTCTCTCGCTCTCTCTTTCTCTCCATGTCTCTCTCTCTCTCTCTCTCTCTCTCTCACACTCTCTCTCTCTATCTCTCTCTAACTCACTCTCGCTACCCTCTCGCTCTCTCTCTCACCCTTGCTATCTCTTTCATTATATTAACATAAATATTTCGCGAGAAAAATAGATGCATAAGAATACAATTACAAACGTAAAATATAATGAACGAGCCAAAACGTAATAACTTTTTTCTCACACGACAAATTAAACTCGCCTACCGCAGGGCGACAGGGAAGAGGCCATCATGACGCTGAAGAAGACTCTCAGCCGCATGAATAGCAACCCTTCCCTCGACGTAGACAAGAGGCTCCACGCGAAGATGCTGCTGCTGCAAGGTGAGCGGCCGAGGCGGGCCTTCCCGTCACAATGACGAGAACTACTAACTTTCATTCTGCTATTTAAACATGTAACATCCAAAAAATACGAAACGTTGCCACGAACACAAAATTATTTTTCAAGTTGGTATAGTATTCGTTGAGCGTGTGTTCGGGACGAGAGCTCTCTCAATAAAGCGCATCTGTTTCGGGAGTTTCTCTCTCTCTCCCTCTCTCTATGTTTGATTCCTTCTGTTTGCTTCCTCTGTGCAGGCCGCTACAGCGAGGAGCAGGCTTCCTCTGTGTGATCTTGCTTCTGTGTCGTCTTCCTTCTATGTTTGCTTCCTTCTATGTTTGTTTCCTTCTATGTTTGTTTCTTTCTACATCTTCTTTCTGTGCGCAGGCTGCTAGAGTGAAGAGCAGGCTTTCTCTGTGGCAGCTTCCTTCAGTGTCGTCTTCCTTCTATGTCATCTTCCTTCTATGTTGTCTTCCTTCTATGTTTGTTTCTTTCTACATCTTCTTCCTGTGCGCAGGCCGCTACAGTGAAGAGCAGTCTTTCTCTGTGGCAGCTTCCTTCAGTGTCGTCTTCCTTCTATGTCATCTTCCTTCTGTGTCGTCTTCCTTCTACGTTTGTTTCTTTCTACATCTTCTTCCTGTGCGCAGGCCGCTACAGGGAAGAGCAGGCTTCTTCTGTGTCATCTTGCTTCTGTGCTGTCTTCCTTCTATGTTTGCTTCCTTCTGTGTCGTCTTCCTTCTATGTTTGTTTCTTTCTACATCTTCTTCCTGTGCGCAGACCGCTACAGGGAAGAGCAGGCTTCCTCTGTGTTATCTTGCTTCTGTGTCGTCTTCCTTCTATGTTTGCTTCCTTCTGTGTCGTCTTTCTTCTATGTTTGCTTCCTTTTATGTTTGTTTCCTTCTATGTTTGTTTATTTCTACATCTTTTTCCTGTGCGCAGACTGCTACAGTGAAGCGCAGGCTTCCTCTGTGGCATTTTGCTTCTATGTCATCTTCCTTCTATGTTTGTTTCCTTCTATGTTTGTTTCTTTCTACATCTTTTTACTGTGCGCAGACTGCTACAGTGAAGAGCAGGCTTCCTCTGTGGCATCTTGCTTCTGTGTTGTCTTCCTTCCATGTCATCTTCCTTCTATATTTGCTTCCTTCTATGTTTGCTTCCTTCTACATCCTCTTCCTCTGCGCAGGCCGCTACAGCGAGGAGTCGAGCAGCATGGAGAGCAACGCGATCATGAAGCTCTACAAGGACGTGGTGGAGATGAGCCCCGACTGGGAGGACGGACACTTCTGCCTCGCGCACTACTACGACCTGCTGCTCGCCCAGCTCGAGTCGCACGACCGCAAGGCGTGAGTGACCCCGTGGTGAATGCCCCCCCCCCCCCGGTGAAGGATGTCCCCCCCATGGCGATAAGCATCCTGTCTTGTCGTGAGAGATGTCCTCTGCGATGTACTTCCCCTCCGTGATGGACGGCCCCCCATGACGAATGTCCCCCTGTGACGAACTCCCCCCCCCCCCGTGATGAATGTTTCCCCGTGGCGAACACCCTGCTGTGACGTGACAGATGTCCCCCCGTGACAAGTGTTCCCCTGCCCTTAGTGTGACCGCCTTTTTACATTAGCAAGACGTCCTACGGAAGTCGTAGTTGAATGACGGTTGTCCCAAGACTTTTATGTGACATACCAATAAGAACAAATACTTTTTCCATTTTAGAGACGTGCTGGCCTACATTGTCAGATTCTTTAGCAACTCGTTGCAACATGGAAACAAGTATATTTACCAGGTAAAAAATATAGCTGCAGCACGCAACATTCCCGACTCGTTCATTGCAGCTTCTACTGTAAACCACCTACAAATTCTGGAGATTTTTCGCTACTTGTCAATGACTAGTAAAGGCACCCCATCGCTATAGTCGTGCGAGAGTTTGATGCTACTCTCTGTATTTTGAGCGTTTTTTCATGAGTTACTGCGACATCCCACCTCTAGTAATAACGTGTTGCATCATGCTCCACAGTCGATGCCGCGGATGCTCAGTCTCTGGCTGGACTTTGGCGCGACGGTTGCCGAGCAACAGCAGAAGAAGCAGGAGAGCCAGGCGACGCAGAACAACCGCAGCATGCTGACCTCCATCAACAAGGTGCCGCGCATAACTCGTAGATACGTCACTGCACACTACTGTGCATCACAGTGTGCATGCGATATGTCGCAGCACCCCATTACAATATGTCACAGTGTGCCTGTGCTATGTCACGTTACACCTACGATAGGTCACAGCACAACGATATGTCACAGTTCACCTACGATATGTCACAGCACAACGATATGTCACAAAGTGTACTTACGATATGTCACAGTTCACCTACGATATGTCACAGCATACTTACGATATGTCAAAGTGTGCTTACGATATGTCACAGTTCACCTACGATATGTCACAGCATACTTACGATATGTCAAAGTGTGCTTATGATATGTCACAGCATACTTACGATATGTCAAAGTGTGCTTACGATATGTCACAGTTCACCTACGATTTGTCACAGAAACATATGTACGATATGTCAAAGTGTGCTTACGATATGTCACCAGTTCACCTACATATGTCACCAGCCCTATACCTTACGATATGTCAAAAGTTGCTTACGATATGTCACAGTTCCGCTACGATATGTCCGCACAACGATAAGTCACAAAGCTGTACTTACGTATATGTCACAGTTCCCTCTACGATACTGCACAGCCATTCTTACGAGTAATGTTCAAAGGTGTGTTACCGATATGTCCAGTTTCACATTACGATATGTCACAGATACCTTATAGTCAAAGTGTGCTTACGATGATGCTACAGGTCACAACTACGATATGTCACAGCATAGCTACGAGTATGTCTAAAGTGTGCTACGATATGTCACAGTTCACCTGCGATATGTCACAGGCATACTACGGATATGTCAAGTGCTGCTTAATGAATCGTCACAGCATACTTACGTAATGTCAAAGTGTGCTTACGATATGTCAGCAGTTCACCCTACGATTTGTCACAGCACACAGATATGTCACAAAGATGTACTTGACGATATGTCACAGTTCACCTACGATATCCAGCAGCAATTTACGACAAAATGTCTAAATATGCATTCATAGTAAGTTACCTCGATAATGTCACAGCATACTACGCATATGTCAAAAGTGTGGCTTACGATATGTCAGCAGTTACCGCTACGATATTCACAGCATACTACGATATGTCAACAGTCACCTACGATAGGTCACACAGCATACTTACGATATATGCTCACAGTTCGATTACAATATGTCACACAGCATACTTACGAATATGTCGCGTTCACCTAGACGATATGTAACAGCACACCTACATGTAGATATCATCGGTTACTAATTTCTGCCAATGAAGCTGCTCTTTTGTTGTTGCGCGCAGCTGTTGAGTTGTCTGTTTGTTTAGTCGCAGTGCAGGCTGACGACACCGCCACCTGTTCGTGACCTTGCTCTTTTGTCGTCGGGCGCGCGTCGGTTTTGCAAGGTGGTGCATGGTCCTCGCAGGACAACTGCGGGCGTATCAGCTTCCTCACGGCCTTCCTCACAGTTATCGTCACGATCTGCCACGCCCATGCCGACGCTCGTCAGGTGCTGCAGGTTGAGAGGCGTCCGCCAGGGGCTGCTATGCTGTTCGATGTCCCTCCCCCCGCGCCCCCCCGGTGGCGTGTTGTTTGGCAACGTTGGCATGTGTCCGCTCCATATTAGACCGTTGGATGTAGAAGTGTTTGTATCTTATCCGTGTCTATATCTAGAGTTTGTTAATGTTATCTATATGGATCGTGTATAGTTTCTGTCTGTACGATCTGTGTGACTGTGCGTCTTAACAGGCAGCTATTCAGTTGTATGTGACTGCCTTAGAGACTCTGTGTCTCTTATGTGTGGTCCTTGCATGCGTGAGCTGGTGTGCGCGTGCAGTTACATGCATCACTTGCGTAAGTGAGTGCGTAACGTGCGTCGTGCTGGCGTAAGTGATGCGTGCATGTGTGTGTGCGCGTGGTACATGCATGCACTCTCTCTCTCATCTCTCTCCTCTCGTCTGCTCTCTCATCCTTCGATCTCTATCTCATCTATGTCTCTATCTATCTCTACTCTAATCTCTATCTCTCTTATTTCTCTCTCTATTCTCATCTATCTATCTGCTCTCTGTCTCATCTCTATCTATCTCTCTCGTCTCCTCTC